TAGTGTCATTCATGATGATTTATCATCGAAGTCTGGAAAAGCAGTGGTCTCAAAGGTGAAACAATTTTAGCTTCTTCGTTTTTCTTATTTTTTTAAACGGAATGTTCCAGAGTGGTTCTTATATCCTTAGGGCTGCGCTATTAAATTCAGACCCAGAAAACTTAATCTTCCAGCCAGATTTGACATGATTGTGGCTGAATTGTAGTAATTCAAGAATAGTTTGTTGGTTGAAGAATGTGTGTAAACTAAATATCTCTTTTTATCTTTCTTTATTATATATATTTTTGTATTTCTAAGTATAAGATCATCATTGTTTTTAAAATATTTTTAGGTATTATCTTACATTTACATGCCAAGAATCAATATTTACTAAAAAAAAATATTAAAGTCTAGCTGGGATATATTCAGTCGTTCATATTCCATCTTTGTAAATTTGGCTTAAAAAAAAATATAATACTTTTTGTGTTTTAAAAAATAAATAAATGCAATAACATTTGTTTGAGGCTTATTTTTCTCTTCAAAACCCCACCTTCTGTCTTTCAATGCCAAATCCTATATTCACTTTCTCTTCTTAAATTGCCAGAATATATCAGATTAAAACAAAACTGTTAAATGAAGTAAGGAAATAAAACAACAACATATATATAAATCAGTTCAAGATGCAATAAGAGCTAATTGAATATAGAAATACCCCTATATTCACCTAAAATGTGCAAAATAGAGGTTAATAAATAACAGACTTAACTTTTGTATGGCTGTGCTGCCGGACCCCCTGACTGACTCGGGCCCTCGGTCCATGACCGATCTGCCCGACCTGTCAGTCCGCCCCTGCATACAACTGTATGCCACGTTCTGGTATATTCATGATGTAATAAGGCAAGAATTTGAGTAGATCACAGCTTGCATTTGAAGATGGCAAATAAATACCAAATACTTGGATGGAACTAAGTTTAGGTCTGGTATCACTCTGCTTCATCAACATTGCTGACAGGGCCGGACTGGGAAAAAAATTAGGCCCGGGCATTTTTCAATTAGAGCGGCCCCCCAAGAAGGGGGCGGGGCCAGAGAGGGTGTGTTTTGTCATCACTAATGACAAGCACGCCCCCTCTCAAAGTGAGCATGTTGGTTCAATGCGCAGAGCCCCGCTGAAGAGCTCTGGCATTAGAAAAAGGCCCTGTATTTGTTCTGCGCAGCGCAAGCAAATGTAATAACATGCTTGCGCTGTGTTTGCTTTTAAATTGTCTCTGGTGTCTCCACAAGTGGGATATCAGAGGACAAAAGGGCCAGGAAAGTGTATGGTGCATGTGTTTGGCGCCTGCTTGTGGGATTGCCTGTGTGTAGAGTGTGGTGTGGTATTGTGTAAATAGGTGTAATATGTGTTGCTAGGGGCTGTAGAGAGTGCGTGTATAGGGGCATAGTGTTATAGGGGATGTAGCGAGTGTGTGCATACGGGCAGTAGTGTGTGTGTATAGGTGACGTAGTGTGTAGGGGTTGTAGAGAGGGTGTGTTTAGAGAATGTTGTATGTCTTTCCTTACAAGGAATATAGTGTGTGTGTAGGTGGTGCAGTGTGTGTGTGTGTAAGAGATCTAGTGTGTAAAGGACCCAGAGTGTGTATAGAAGATTGTGTGTGTGTGTGTGTATGTGTGTAGAGGATTAAGAGTGCATATAGGGTAAGGGATCTAGCGTGTATTTGGAGCGTAATGTGTGTAGTGGTGCAGTGTGAGGGGTGCTGTAGTGTGTGTGTGTGTGTGTGTGTGTATATATATTTATATATATTTGGACGTATTGTATGTGTGAGGTGCGCAGTGTGTTTGTGTAAGAGGGGTGCTGTGTGTGAGGGTGTTTTTATCTGCCGTCACATTCTAGGTTTCTAATTTTCTTATATGTGTGTGTGTGTGTGTCTCTGGGTGTGCTGTGTGTGTCTGGGGGTGCTGTGTGTGTATCTTGGGGTGCTGTGTGTGTTTGGGGGTGCTGTGTGTGTGTCTGGGGGTGCTTTGTGTATCTGGGGTGCTGTGTGTGTCTGGGGGTGCTGTGTGTGTATCTGGGTGCTGTGTGTATCTGGGTGCTGTGTGTATCTGGGTGCTGTGTCTGTCTGGGTGCTGTGTGTGTCTGAGGGTGCTGTGTGTGTCTGAGTGCTGTGTGTGTCTGGGGTTGCTATGTGCGTCTGAGTGCTGTGTGTGTCTGGGTGCTGTGTGTGTCTGGGTGCTGTGTGTGTATCTGGGTGCTGTGTGTGTCTGGGGTGCTGTGTGTGTATCTGGGGTGCTGTGTGTGTATCTGGGGTGCTGTGTGTGTGTCTGGGGGTGCTGTGTGTGTCTGGGGCTGTGTGTGTATCTGGGGGCTGTGTGTGTCTGGGGGTGCTGTGTGTGTCGGGGCTGTGTGTATCTGGGGGCTGTGTGTGTGTCTGGGGGTGCTGTGTGTGTCTGGGGGCTGTGTGTATCTGGGGTGCTGTATGTATCTGGGGTGCTGCTGTGTGTATCTGGGGTGCTGTGTGTGTCTGGGGGGGTGCTGTGTGTATCTCGGTGCTGTGTGTATCTGGGGTGCTGTGTGTGTGTCTGGGGGGGGGCTGTGTGTGTCTGGGGTGCTGTTTTTGAGGGGGCTGTTAGGGAATTTATTTTAAATATATATTTTTTTTATTTTAAAAAAGTTATGCCCCCCCCCCCTTCTTACCTTTAGCCTGGGAGGGGGAGGGAGCCATTCTGCCTGGGAGGGGGAGCCTTGAGGGGAGCCATGCTGCCTTTCCTGGTGGTCCAGTGGTGAGAGTGAACTCTAACCTGCAGGTTAGAGTTCACTCTCGCGAGATCTGAGCGTTGCCGCGGTAACCACGGCAACGCTCAGAATCCCACGAGAGGACCGGGTGGAGCTGCTTGTTAGAGCTCCGCCGGTCCTCTCTCCCCAGCCGGCGGCCGTATCTCCCTGTCTGTGGGCCGGTGAGGGAGATCTTTGATCTCCCCACCGGCCCATGGATTCACATAGCAGGGCCGGTGCTCGGATAGCGCTGGCCCTGCAGGGGCCGGCCAGGGAGATCCTGGGATCTCCCCTGCCGGCCTCGGCCCCACGGCCATCGCGGCCCACCGGGCATTTGCCCGGTGTGCCCGATGGCCAGTCCGGGCCTGACTGGTATATAAAATCAATCACCAAGCCATTCAGCCTGCATTTGCAAACATTTGTAAAATTAAAAAAAAGGTTGTTCTGAATAGCTCAGTGTACTCAAGCGTGAGACTGTGGTAGGATGGCACCTATAAAGTAAGTCAGTTCAGGAAATTTCATCCGTGCTAGATATTCCACAGTCAACTGTAAGTGATATCATTGGAAAGTGGAAGCGTTTAGGAACAGCAGAACACCACTTCAAGTCACCGAGTGCTGAGGTGCATGGTGCATAAAAGTCACCAACACTCTGCTGATTCCATAGTTGAAGGGTTCTAAACTTTCACTGGCATTAATATCAGCACAGAAACTAAATGGCGGAAGCTTCATGGAATGGGTTTCAATGCCCGAACAACTACATGCAAGCCTCACATCACTAAGTACTATGACAATGACGTAAAATTCAGTGGTGTAAAGCATGCCACCACTGGACTCTGGAGCAGTAGAAACGTGTTCTGTGGAGTGACGCTTCTCTGTATGGCAGTCTGATGGGTAGGTCTGGGTTTGGCAGATGCCAGGAAAACATTACCTGCCTGACTGCCATATGCCAACTGTAAAGTTTTGTGGAGGAGGGATAATGGTATGAGCTGTTTTTCATGGGTTGGGATAGGTCTCTTACTTCCAGTGAAGGTAAATGTTAATGCTTCAGCACACTTAGATATTTTGGAAACTGCTATGTTTCTTTAATTGCAGACCATCCCCATACAGTTCAGTGCCGTCAAAAAGCAATGATAAATATTCTTGTGTAAAAGCATCAACACTACTGATGGCTGCAGAAGGCCACAAACCAAGTTTGCCTCAAGCAATGCTTGTCTGATTTTTCAAGCTGTGGCTTGAACAGCATTGCCTTTAGACAACTTCTTATCTTAAGCCAACCCATATTAATTATAGGTTCAGCTGCAGCATGCAAACATTATTATTTAATTAGTTTCATCCTAAATTATCAGGTCAATGGGGTAAGAGACAATTGAAAAGACATTACAAATGTAGTTAAAATAATAATATAATTTAAAAAAGATCCCTCATAGTAAAAATATTGTGTGTAACGTTATCACTTATGTATGTCCCAAATGCGTACATTTACATAAGTAAGGTTTTTGAGCTACATAGTTAATTACTTCAGTAGTGCTTTTTTGATACATAAGACTAATGTAAAAGTATATATAGAAAATTAATTTCAACAATCCAGTAATGTATAGCACTATTCATCCTCACACATAATTATTTCAGTTTAACAATAAGGTTTACCTACAAACCATGGGCCCTACTATGGGCACTAAGATGGCACCCCAATATGCTAATCTGTTTCCTAGAAATACAGCACACCAAATCATACAAATATTATCACTATATCAATGATATCTTCAGAATTTTCACTAAAAGCGAAGAAAAACGGATACAGTTCCATGGCTCTTTTAAAGGGACACTGTAGTCACCAGAACAACTAAAGCTTGATGTAGTTGTTCTGGTGAGTATAATAGCTCTCTTCAGGCATTTTCATGCAAACATTGCATGGCAGTGTTTACATTGCCCCTAGGGATACCTCCAAGTGGCTACTCCTTGGATGGCCACTGGAGGGGCTTCCTGACTCAGGGCTGCACAGTAAGCAGCTCTGTCGTTAAGCGTGGAGATGCTGAATTTTCCTCTTAGAGATGCATTAACTCAATGCATCTCTATGAGGAGGTCCTGATTGACCAAAATGGCATTTCCCTATAGGAAAGCATTGTATTGGCTAAAAAGCGTCCATTTTGATGATGTCACAAGGGGGCGGACCCGCGCAGCACTGGAAATAAGGTGAGTTTTATACGGGGGCAAGCCACCTATATGGTGGGTTTAGCAATATAGGGTCAGGAATACATGTTTGTGTTCTTGACCCTATAGTGATCCTTTAACTCATTCCATCCATCAATCAAATTAAAAATGGAATATTCCACTAGATCTGTGAATTTTCTGGACACCATTTTGACATGTAACAATGGCACAATCCACACCTAGGTTTACAGAAAACCCACAGACAGGTGCAGTTACCTTCACAGCTCCAGCTTCCACCCATCCCATACTATACAGGGCATCATCTACAGCCGAGCCACTACCATCCAGAATCCAGAATGATCAAATTGTTTAACAGCAAGAATAGGGGACTAAATATTGATTTGCGTTTCCTGCCCCACTACTAACACTTTACATGAACACTCCCTCAGCATTATATTTCTGTTCTGTCATGTGTATCAACATTTTATAATGCATTCCAATATGTTTATTTTATCTATCTACAAAGTACTTTGTATAGACCTATGCTTTCCCATAGCTTGGTGTATAATACATGTGAAAAAAAATAGGAATATTAGTGCAGATGGTAAGTTAATATAGAATCAGAAAAAATGGTGGTAAAGTGAAACAGGGCTCTGAAAAGGGTGAGCATTTTACTTACTTATTAATTTAAATAAGTATTAATTTACTTATTTTAGATAGGTAGATAGATAGATAGATAGATAGAGTGCACAATCAAGGCAAATTCTATGTATAGAAAAGTGGGTGCAGCATCTTCCAGGTGTGCTCAAATCCAAGGAGTGGAACAATATGGAAGATAAGAAGACAAAGGAATGAGGACACTTGGAAGGTGTTGCTTTCCTAACCCCCTTTTCTATACAGTATCCTCTTAAAGACAGAAAGAAGAGACTGGTTTGGGAAGTTCAAACTGCTATACTATCAAACAAGGGCTAGAAATCTCACTAACTTTTTTATTTATTTAAATACTATCCATGTTTGGTACCAGGAGAAACCCACTTAGCACCATCTTGTGTTTGACACTATTGCCAGCAGCACCTTCCAACTCACTCTGAAAGAATGATTACATGGCTGCAATAGGTGTCCACATTGCTGCCAGCAGGGGGACTGCCTAAACTGACAGGCCGTCCCCCTGCTGGTGAAAAAAGCTAAAAAAAAGTAAAAAATAATAAAGTTAATAAATGTAAAAAATAATAATATATTTATATGTATATATTGGATACATACATATATATATATACATACATATATGATATCAATATATATATATCAATATATATATATCAATATATATATATATACATATATATATATATATATATATATATATATATATATATTGACAGGCCGTCCCCCTGCTGGTGAAAAAAGTTAAAAAAAAAGTATATATTGGATATATTTATAAATATATATATAATATATATATATATATATATATATATATATATATATCATATATCTTATATATAACAATATAACATCATACAAAATTACACATGTATATATATATATATATATATATAATAACTATATATATATTGCATATATATATATATATATTATGATGATATAGAAATAATAATTAATTAAAATAAATGTAAAAATTTTAAAAATAATAACATAATTAAAACAAATTATATATATATATATATATATATATATATATATGTATATATAAATAAATAAAAATAATACGAAATACACATATGTCCATATAGATAATTACATGAATAATTTCATAAATATACATGTAGACTTCAAATATATGAATATGTATATATACATATAAAATTT